ATTACCAAAGTCTTGTTTATATGTTGCTAGGATACGCGTAGGTATGCGGGCCGCTACATTTGATTCTTCCTAAAATTCTGCTGGTGGTGTACTCTACCGGCAATTCGGAAATTTAAAACTGCTAGCCTATTCGAGTGGCGGTCTGTGGCGATCGCTAATTTGTCTGTGATATAACTGTTCAGTGACTCCAGGTGCCGCTGCCACCACATCCCATCCTAGAGCTATTCCTCACAATATAAACCCTGAAATACATTATAGTTCTAGTGACACTACAGTTATTGACTTATTGAATTATAAAGCGTGGGATTTGTTTACACTCTAAAATTTATAGTCGTGGACAAAAACAAATACATTTTTCACCAAAAGTTAAAGCAGCAAGGTCAATTAAAAATAGTAATCATATCACACACTGGAACTATTGTCAATTTTAAGAAGTCAACTAGGGTAATATGTGGAAAAGAAAAGAAACTATTTATATAATAAATTTTGTCAACGTTTCGTCATCAGTTTGGTGTTTTAAATGCAAATTGTTTCAATCTTATCGTTTTATCTAAAAACGAACATTATTAGTTCAAGTTTAACTAAATAGCCCGTAAGTAGGTATATAGTCTTAAAAATGTCGAACTAAAATTATGAAATGTTGATAAATATACAGGGTGGTCCGAATTTTATGCAGGAAACTTCGAGGGCAGATAGATCTTTTTAAAATAGTAGGTGTTTGCCTTATAAACATAGGTCTGGAACGGCCTCGTTTTAGAGATACATGGTGTTGAAGTTGTTAAAAAAAATCATTGTTTGTTTATATCTCCGGAATCTATTAACCAATCTGAATAAAATTTGGTACAGATGATGTATGACAGTAGACCTTGCATTCCCTAAAATATAAGCTCTAAAGGATGGACCAGTGGTATACAACTGGACGGGGTCACCCCTTTTTTATAAAAAAACCTACGCCACTGTATTTTTTACAAGCTATTGTAACATATTTATATTCTAATGTATAAAATACGTAAAAAAGGTAACGTGAATTTTTTCCTTAAAGTTCACCGTTCTCAAGTTATTCATACGAATACAATCTCCTTGTGACGGATACTTCTAACCATAATATTACAAGAATATTTATGTTTTATGGTTAAAAGTAAGTGCAATTTGTAAGCATATCAACAAAATTCTTTACACTCGTCGCTTTCATCTTTTTGGATTAAAACGATGTTTGAAAAATCACGACGGCGCAATGAAAGGCACATAAATGAAATTTTAAGAACATTGGGATGAGTAAATCGAAAATTTGAAAAGTTCTACAAAAGGATAGTAGAAATCCGTACCATTTACAACCTGTGCAAAATTTACTTGGTTTACTTGGTTGGCAAAATTAGTGGTTGTTTTAAAGTCACAACATAATGCAGAATTCTTACTAGAAATACTTTGGACCGATGAGTGAATTTTCACAATATTTGGTCACAAGAAAATCCTCATGAAATTCGGACAAGATCTTTTCAACACGAATTTTCTGTGAAAGTGTGGCTCGGAATAATTCGGACCTTTTTCCTTGTCACCCCATCTAAATTCACAGCATTTCTAAACTTTCTAGAAGACCATCTTTTTTGAATTATTAGAGGATGTTCCATTAAATATACCACAAAATAGCTGGATACAAATGGATGGTGTTCCAGCGCATTTTAGGAGAATAATACAAGAATGGCTCAAAAATTATATGGAGCGATGGATAGGTTGAAGACCAATTGCCAATGTCAACCATAATGGTGCAGAGAATCCAGTGTCTTGGCCAGCCAGATCGCCAGATCTAAACCAACTGGACTTCTATGTTTGGGGTTACCTATCTAAAAAGTAAAGTTTACTCTACTCCAATAGATACAAGACCACAACTACTGCAGCGAATAGAAGACGGGTGTAATTAATTAAAAGAAAGCCACCACATGATATTAGTTAGGTAATTTCATTAATCATTAATAGAAGTTGTCAGAAATGTATCGATGTGGATGGTTCGCATTTTGAACAATTGCTGCAAATACGTAACGTTAATTTCATTTCTTGTTTAATTGTTGTTGCTTGGTAAATGTATTTTTATTATTATTTTGATTTAAATTGTTCTTATTTGTAAAGATAGTGGATTAAGCCTCCAGGGGAAACTAAAACACTCTAGGAACACTACCTCACAGGTAATGTGGAAATAATTTTGTTGATCTGCTTACAAATTGCACTTACTTTTAAGCATAAACATAAATATTCGTGTAATATGGTTTGAAGATTCTGCCACAAGGGGATTGTATTGGTATGAATAACTTGACTTTTTTACGTATTTAGTGCACTAGAATATAAATCCGACAATAACTTGTAAAATATACGGTGGCGCAGTTTTTTTTATAAAATGAGGGCGACGCCTGTCCATTAGAGCTCATATTTTAGGAAATGCAAGGCCTACTGTCATACATTATCTGCACCAAATTTTATTGAGATCGGTTAATAGATTCCGGAGATATAAACAAAAAATCTATTTTTTTTTAACAACTTCAACACCTTGTATCTCTAAAACGAGGCTGTTCCAAACCTATGTTTATAAGGCAAACACCTATTATTTTAAAGAGATCTATCTGCCCTCGAAGTTTCCTGCATAAAATTCGGATCACTCTGTATAACTTTTATTTTCCTTATATTAAGCCCTATGCTGTAAAAACATTGAAATTAATTTCAACCTTGAAGTGATTTCAATGAAAATTGATTTGTTCTTCAATTTTGGAGAAAATTGGTATGCACTAAGAACACTTGATTAGAAAACCTTGACATTAAAATTGATTGAAATTTATTTCAAGTGTACTTGTGGCAACGTCGCTATTTGCTATAGGGAGATACTGGTGACTATGGAAACAATCTTTATGAACAGAAACGGTGACATCAGTCAAAAATTTTATTATAAGATTCTTAATCATCAATTTTGTTATTCTGAATTTATTAATTGTATATAAACGGTAAGTATCACAACATAAAATGGTGAAGCAGTTAACAATCTTTCTGTTGAAATAAATAAAGAAAATCATAGCCAACAAAGAAGTACTGCCGATTGGAAGCGGGCATAACATATTTCCATATTGGTGTGTCACTTAAAATTATATGTTGCTTATCAGATATAATTTACATTTATATTTCATTATCTACACATGAATTAATATATAATAAATGCTAGCTAATGCTAGTAATATTTAAAATTAATCAAGTACATTTTAAGATCTTTAACGAATGGGAATCCAACGTAAAATCTAAAGCTAGGAGAATTCACTTTGAACAAGAATTAACTGGAGGTGGTATTGCTCTAATTGAAATTTTAACAAATCTAGAAAAAAAATTTTTGGAGGTTTTGTCAAAAATATTAATATATGGGCACCCCCAAGTTGTAGAATTAGCTTACAAAAGAAAAAAATACATGAATCAAATAAACAGAAAAGGACAAAAAGAGATCAAGGAAAATCTTTCAGTATAAAAGTTTTTACTAATTTTTTATTATTAATTATTTTGCATTTTCACCTGAACCATTTGAGCCGTTATGTTAAGGAGTCGCATCGAAATGTTAGAAAAAACTTCAATTATTTAAAAAATAGTATATTTATTTTGAATGTGGCATAGGAAAACTTGTTAAAATCTATAAGTAATTAAAATATTAAATTAAAAATATTTTATTTCATATGGATATTTTCAATAATATAAAATATTATTTTATTAATATTAATTATATATTAATATTGATATATTTTATTAATATTTAATATTATTTTATTCATAAACAAATATTAAATCAAATATGGCATGAAACTTCATGTTTCCAAAATAATTTTGAATTGCCCTATTTCTTACAATACGGCCTTACTGCAAATTATTTCTTCTTATATCTGTATAATTATCTTCTTCTAATTCGTCATTTTCATCATTTATCATTCAACATTTCTAAAATAAAATATAGATTTTACTTTTGTTAAATCGAAATTAAGCTACACTTACCATTATTATCATCCAAATTTTCATTTCTAAGGATACACAGGTTATGTAATATTGCACAGGAATAAATTGTGTGTGCTGCCCTAGCTGGAGCAACAAGAATTCTTGATTAAATTGGTTTCAAGTTTCTTAACGTGAAGGTTTTCGATTTCCGTTACAATTCTTGACATTTGTCAACCTTGATATGCAGTTTTATATCAATTTCTGCTTTAGTGCATACCAAGTTTTGAAGTTTTCAAGGTTACTTGACGTCATTTCAAACTCTTGACAAATTTCAATCAATTTGTTTTTTACAGCATAGTAAACCTCCATTTTTATTGAAATGTCTGTCTAAATGTCATTTTTTCATATAATTTCAACCTTGATATGAAGTCAATGTTCATACAGCATAGGGCTGATTGACTTCAGTTCAGCAAGAAAAAAAATGCCAAAAAAAATATGTATTTTTTTATTTCAGAACTGCTAACAAGAAGAACAGCAGACTGAGAGATGACAGAAAATTATTATTGAAAAAAAAATAGATAGTAAAACATTTTAGTATTAAGACCCTTATTACCCCCTTTTACCCCCCCCCCCCCCCCATCTTTTTAGCCATGAATATTCACAAGTTTAAAATATACATAAAACATTACTAACATGTTTGGATAATATTCCCAGAAATATTCGTGTAATATCTATCATGTTTAATCTCACATCTATAATAGGAATATTCTTATTTTAGATATTATATGTATATTTTGAATATTTGTGAGTATCTACAGAATCGTCTAAAATGTAGATTCTAAGTTTCTCTAAGATATCCCAATATGATGATTTTATGAATATTCTCAAAAGTATAAATATATTTAAAACGGTTTCAATGAATAATTAAATTTTATGAAACGAATATACCTGGATTATTCTGGGAATATATGTTGCTATCTGGGTCATCTAATTTATTAACTAAAATCTCCGCTCCATGCAACATAATTTATAATTTTTTTTTTTTTCAGATGAATGCAAAATTAAGCCTAAACCTCTATACCCGGGAGAGGTAGTATTTTTTGTAGTTCAACCAAGGTTTATGAATGTTGATATTAGAATAGTAATAGATGTTACTCAAGGAAAGCTGAACGTATTTATGAGTACACATGATGATACTTACTTAGCTTTTCCTAATTTTACTACGGGATTAGTCGATATAGACATTGATGCGCAGTATGGCCATTGGGAAAATGGAACTTTAAGGTCAAAAGATGTGTATTTAGAAAGAGAAGCGCTTGGGCTAAGAACATATATAACAATTACACAATCTAAGACAATTTTGTTTGTCAAGAATTTACAAGATCGACTTGTAATTACACTTCCAGAGGTGAGTGGTTTTCTCTAACATATTTATCATGGCCGTTTTCTTCAACTGCAAGGAAAATAATTTGTTTTTTTAGTATAATTGTTATTTATTTATTTATTTAGTTACTTAATACTCAACAGGCAGAGCCCCATTACAGAGTATATAAGTGCAATAAGAAACAAATACAATATAAATTATATCTAAATCAATCGATTTAACAATGTTCTTAAACAATTTACACTGATATTAAATATGTCACAATTTTGCTGGATGATATTGTAATTATAACAAATTCTATAGAGTAGGGAGTTCATTTGGTAATTTGTTGAAGCAAGTTCAAGATAAAAAGTTCTAGAGATTCTAGTAGGATATGGTGGTACATTCAAACATATTAATGAAGAAAATTAGGATTATCAACATTACTACTCAATAGTTTGTACAAATATACAGGGTGATTCACAACTTATCCAAAAAAATTTGGGAATAGATGCGGCATGAGAAATGGAGTCGATATCGTAAAAAAATTTTTTGTAAAATCCTTATAGTTTCCGAGAAAAAAATTATTGAAGTTATAGTACATTCAACCACTACATAGCTGGACAACTGTAGTCTCTAGCGTCATTCGCAATACGCGTGGAGAGCACGTGGCTTCAGCGACTCCGAATACTGAAATCGGATTTTGCAATCGTCGTTGCCATAGTATTTACCTGTTATCTGTACTATTGTAAACACCTACAATAGTTTTTTAGTAGTTAGTGTCAAAAATGGGTAGTTAGTGTCAAAAATGGTTTGCGTGTAGGTATAGCAACTCGGAGTTGATGGATATCGTTTTAATTTATGGTGAAGCATTTGTGTTATGGTGAAGCAAGACACCATTTGTGTTAGTTCGTAGAAACTGAGTAAAATGGACCCAAATGTGTTAACACGTTGGTGGATAAAATTTTGAATTGTTGTTGTAACATCGGGGATGTCAACTGATTTTATTATTTAAAAACACAAATTAATTTTATTAATTAATAAAAGCAAAAGCAGTTGAATTTGCCGATATAAAATAGGTGCGATTTGGAAGAATAGCAAAACTGAAAGAAATTCATATTTACCTACAAGTTGGTGCATAAAGGAGACCTTATGAGGTGCAATTTTTGCAATTGGACGTGATAGTGGGAGGTTCATAAACAGAAGTAAACTTCAAATTCGCAGTTTCCTGAAATTTTGAGACATAATTACTATAAAGAAAAAAGGCACCTACTTAATGGATTAGACTGCATTGTAGAAATTCAATACTAAAGAGTCACAAATATGATTTGAAATTTGACAGATCTGAGCATCTAAAATCTAATATAGACTAAAGATAATAGATGTGATATATTATTTACCTTAATAGTGCATAATTTATATTCATAAATAGTATAGACATTTTGGCCAAGGTCATCTGAAGGTCATGTCATGATCTACGAACGTCTGGGGTCGAGGTCACCTCAAGGTCGTGTCAAGGTCAACTGCCGACGGCCATCAGGGGTCAAGGTCATGCCGAGGTCAACGACTTACGGTCGTCTGTGGTCAAGGTCGTCCCAAGGTCATGCCAAGGCCAACGTCCTGCGGTCGTCTGGGGACAAGGTCACCTCAAGGTCATGACAAAGTCAACGACCTGCAGCCGCCTGGGGTCAAGGTCAGCACAAGGTCATGTCAAGGTCAACGACCTACGGTCGTCTGGGATCAAGGGCTGCTCATTCCAAATGCTCCGCTCAGCTCTGTCATTTATAAACTGCGCGGAATCGGTACGGGTCGCTGTTCGTCATCATCGACTGCCCGTCTCGTTTTCCGGACGGACGATACGTGCACGGATCGCACTCGCGAGCGTGGTCACCAAAACGTTAGTGATACCAGCACTGACCATTGTCACCGTCACGGCTTTGCGATCGGCCTCGTCAACGCCATCTAGATGTGCTCGTCGTCGGTTGCCGCGGTTCACTCTTCGTGAATGCGATTCAGCCTGTCATCTTTTGGACGGGTATGATTTTCGACGTAGTTTTCTTGTTTGAGGCTCATGTTGTTTGCTGCGTTACGCAAAATAAAAACCACTCTAATTGCACAAAAAATCGAGTACTTTCATTGAACGAGGGCTGAAAGATCACGTGGGGGTCACCACTTGAGGGTTGCTATCGGTGTATAGCAAAATAAAACTCTCTCTCAACGGTGAAAGAAAAAGTATTTTTATTGAAAACGATAATACAGTGAAAAGAAATGTCGGCGCGAGCGTTCGTTGGAGAGTCTTCGTATGGAGTCGCTCGTATGTAGTAATGACAATAACAATAACAATAACAATAATAATAATAATAATAATAATAATAATAATAATAATAATAATAATAATGTCTTTATTATTAGTAGAATACATATTTATGACAAAGATTTAGGCAACCTGGTGGCGCCGTTCGATTTTACTCGCTCTTCCACGTAACCACCAGAAAAATAAGTAATTGGAAATAAATAGTAGGCATAACAAAATATAACTAAAAACTAACGTAACTAAATAAAAACTAATACAACATACAACTAATGCAACTACATAGTTCTTTGTGATAAAATGGATTGTTTTAAATGTTTGCGAAAAGATGATACAGTGGGGGCATTTTTAATATTAATATCAATTTTATTATACAGCTTTGCGGCATTGTAGGAAAAAGATTTTGAATACTCGGCATAGCGGTGCCTCGGGACAGTATACAGATTCCGGAATCTTGTGGAGCGGCCATGAATAACATTACGTTTCACAAGCTTGTCATGTAAATATGCAGGAGATTTGTTTTCATTGACTTTATAAATCAGGGAGGACATACGTAGATCATACTGTTCGCTTAATTTGAGCCATTGACACTCTTGATAACATGGTGTTACATGGTCGAATTTTTTCAAACCAAATGAATACCTTAAACAATTGTTTTGTACTTTCTGCAGAGAATATTTGTCAGATTGTAATAAGCAAGGCCAGTAGACGGTAACACAATAACTTAATGACGACATAACTAAGGTTTCACATAATTTTAATTTAATTTCTTTGCAAAGAGAGTCTTTATGCATATAAAGTAACTTCAATTTCCCATAAGACTTTTTAACCAAATAGTTGACATGACTCTGAAATCTTAAGTTAACGTCTAGATATACGCCCAAGTTTTTACAATCATTTTGAGGTTTTATTATTTTACTATTTAAAAATATCTGAAAATCAGGATGCACTCTAATTGTTTGTCTCTGTTTACCAAATAAAAGTAACTGTGTCTTTGCTTCATTGAGAATGAGTTTATGAGCAATACAAAAGTTGGACATTGACTTTAAATCTGCATTAATTATATCAACCGCATTATTAATTTTATTACTTGCAAATGAATGATAGATTTGCGTGTCATCCGCATATTGATGTAACTGACAACTCTCTAAATAGGTATCCAAATCCGCAGTATAAATTGAGAATAAAAGGGGACCTAAGATGCTTCCCTGTGGTACTCCTTTCCGAATAGTTTTGAAATCAGAGTATTGACCAGAGCATACTACTCGTTGACGCCTGTCACATAAGTAATTTTTGAAAAATAAAGTTGGTACATTACCAGCGCCAAAGTATTTGAGTTTTTGGATAAGTAAATCATAAATAAATAGTATTAGGCCCAGGATAGATCCTTGTGGGACTCCAATGTCAACATTTAAAGTTCTTGATTTAAAATGATACTTTTGATTATTGTTTGTTATAGGCAAAAACACAAATTGATGACGGTCACACAAAAATGATTTTAATCAGTTTAAAGTAATTCCTCTAACTCCATAGCTTTCAAGAATGCTAAACAATTTATTATGGTTAACGCAGTCGATACCCTCAAATCCTTAAGATGTTGAAAGATCCTATTTTTGTTACTAAAATGAATGAAAACGAGAAAGCACCTTGGTTTTGTTTCAAGGATATCATAGAAAATTTTCAAGGAAATGATAGGAGTCCAAACTATAAAGTCAAATTTGGTAGAGAGTTTTAAGACCCCAGGTTGTTTACTGAATCTTAAAATACATTTTTTTACATTCTCGTGTAGACTATTTCCCAGACATTACAGTGGGGAGCAGGGAGAAAGATTTCATCGAGACATTAAGGAAATGCAGTGTAGATACCAAGGTAGATGGGACATAAATATGATGGCCGATTTACCCGTTAAATCAAAAAACGTAAGAGGAATCCACTCTGCAGATTTTTTGACAACTAAAATTGTTCGACATCATAAAGGTGAGGTAGATTTGTAATGAGGATTTACATTCAGTAATCCCAAAAACGTATAAGGATGGTCTCTTTCTACACTCAAGCAGTTTTTCTTGATTTGACCTTGAAGTGGCTTTGACACTGACGTGATAGAGTTAAAAAGACACCGGATTCGGAATCAGTAACCCCAAAAACTCCTTAAACCATAAACACATTTTAATATATATATAAACAAACAAATAGATTAAAATCATGCAATATTCATTAATTGTTTTCTCGGAAAATATCTTCTAATAGAAAAATTGATAAAAACACTTTTTACTTAAAATTATATATGGGCTTCGACAGTATTTTTTATTTTTCAATATTTTAAATTATTTAATATTCGGTCCGCCATCTTGAATTTTGAAAATCTAACATTGGGTCCCAAAACCGTATCAAAATGGGAAAATTTTTTTCATTAACTTTGTTTCGGGATCTTGGATTGACCTTGACCCTGATCTGACCGGGTTAAACTCACCTCAGATTCGGATTCAGCGATCCCAAAAACATCATAGGTATCATGATCTGGTCTTCCGGACCAGGTACTTTTTTGTGGCGCTGTGTATTAGCCTTGTTTTAAATAGTGATTCATATTACGTGTTTTATTTAAGTAGATTAACAGTAGTTTTAGTAATATTAATTTTAGGCCCTTTATCTACGAAAAATGCTACTTAAATGGTGATCATTTTAGTAAATACAAATTTATTGTCCTTGAAAGTTTGTTCCCTCTCTCGCTAAAAAG